ATTCCCAGCTTTCCAAGAAATCTCCATACTGCTTTCCAAATTGGCTGCACCAATTTGCAGTCCCACCAGCAATGAACAAGAGTGCCCTTTTCCCCGCATCCTCTCCAGCACTTATTGTTGTTTGACTTCCTAATGGCTGCCAATCTTACTGGAGTGAGGTGGTATCTTAGGGTAGTTTTGATTTGCATTTCTGCAGAGCACTTTTGTAGAAGTGGAAATGAGTGGGAAATGAGCATAAATTGAATACCAATATCATAAGAAAGATCTGGAAAGGAATTAAATGGTGAGTCTAAAGGTAAAAAGTACAATAAATATTCTCAGGGTCACCCATCTCTGTATAGCAAGATAACTTGACAATTCAGCCAGATAACAAAAAGTAGCAAGGATTCAAGTAAAACTCTCATGATTAAAATGTGAAAAAAGTGTAGGAAGCATAAAAATAACTACAAGTGCTAATCTTTGTATATATGGTGAAACCATATGGAACTGATCAGCCATAGAGTGATTTTTCTCACCACATTGCCCTCAACATGCCAGTCTTTGAAGTGACACTGCTGCTAGGGATATGTGAGAATTGACACAATACATGAATATTCCTGAATAAACTGACCATGTATATAGAATTACTTTCCTTATAAACATCCCTCCCTGCTTCACCCATTGTGCTGAGGTGTTACTCACTGATTTTCTGCTTTAGTAAACATTACTGAAGTTTAGTGTGAAATGATTAGGAAGATTGAAGAGATAGCATAAAATTAATTAAAATGGTGTTGGAGAACTGCTTGAACAAAATGTATAGCCCAAATGACAAATAGATTCAAAATTATTAAAATTTTAATAAACTTTAATATAATTTTAATAAATTTTAATATAACTAGAATTTGGTTAAATATGAGATAATGTATTTCCAAATTTGGTTTAAAAGAAAATAAAGTTCTAAACAAAATTTTTTTTCTCTACTTACTATAAAATACTGGTCAAGATTTTCAAAGTATTTATTTGATAAGATTTCTTTCTTTCTATACACAGTAATCCTCAGATAATGTCTGTAATTATTTTCTCCAGTAACCTTTACTACCATTTCAGACAGAAGCAGATTTAGGAAACATTTCTAATGATGTGAGAGCTAGGAATCATCATAGAAATAAGAATTGCTTTCAGATAAATGAAAGAAGAGTTCTATTGAAAGAGGGAAAGAGTTGGTATTCACTGAGATGTGACTCTGTGTCTTAAACTCCCAGAGGTTTTCCAGGGAATGGAGCTAGAGTGAAAATACCCAGAGAATTGGGAGGAACCTTTGTACAAATAGTTTCTTCCATGGAGAAACACAAAAATATTCAAACTGTTGCATTGTAGTGTCATTGTGTGACATTAGAAGTGCAAAATCAATGTTCTTCATCTTTTTCTGGACTCAGAGGAGAGAGGGTCAGGGGAATTTACTTAGAAATTAGGGAACAAACTAAAGAGACCAAACCAGCAAAATTCAAAATTTAAGCCTTGTGGACTTGGACAAGCAGATTTTTAGCTGAAAATTAGAGAAACCTGAGGACTAGACATGGATGTGGATACTCAAAATGACAGTGGCATGAAGAGATGACCCCAGAGGGCCAGCTAGGATCCATCATCTAAGAGGACTACACCTTGGACACATGTACCAAATGCCAAATGTAAGGCAAGAACTTACACTTAAATGCAACCATAAAAGGAAAGAGATAATGTTGAGAAAAATTCTAAACTGAAGGGTTTAATTTGAACTAACCAAAGAAATCTTGAAATGACTGTATATAACTGTCTAAGTTAGGTTTTCTTGGAATTTACAAAGAGAAACTAAGTAGATATATTTTTTAATTAGTGAATTTTAGAATTGGAAATATATCTTCTTTCCCATTGCTTCTTTTTAACAGACTCAACATGTTAATTTTCTCTATGAAATCAGCCTCTGGTAGGTGGCTAGCCTAGAGCACTGCATCAACCTGACAGTTGACTTTTGGGAATTTAAATGTGACCTCAAAGCATCAATAGAGAAAGTGAGAAGGGGAGTTTTTGTTTTACTCCATGTGGGTCCTCCTTGACCCAGAAGTTATCAATGAAAATCTTCTCAGTGTTCTATTATTTAAGAAGATGAGAAAACTGATGTTTTCATTACTGATGTATATACTTCCTTAAAAAATAAGGAGATCACTGCTTTTACAGATCACTGCGTCTGTATAGCTGGGTCTAAATATGTACATGGTGAGAGAATAATTAGAAAGTAATTCTTTTATGATGTCACATTAAGATCATTCAGTCCTATTCACATGCTATACTTTCAGGGTTTGCAATGATGAAAAGAAAAAATAAGAATTACTTAAAATAAGTCATTTCCACAATTCAACAAGAACATTCTTCCTCATATCTCTATATAATATACCTTTTCCTCACTTCCTCTCAGAAAGGGGCAAGAGAAGTTTTGACCTGACATACTGACAAGGAAGCTCCTTAAATTTTACATGAGGTTTCACTGTCTAGAACTTTATGTATCTGCTGTGTGTATGTTTTATATATATATATACACACACATATACATATACATACACCCACACAAGTATAAAGGTATGTATGTGTACAAATACACATGAGTAGATAAAACTCTCTAAAATAATATCTTCTCTTGAAGATTGACATTTCTGTATTTAATTATTTAATTCTATGAGTTCAATTTTGAATTACAGTTCACTTTTATTTGACACATTTATTTCTGCACTACATATAAAACTAAATAAATTGTGTTGCCCTAAAATGCCATTGTAAGTACTAGTTTGGTTTTGTCTTTTGGGTACAGTTCATCACTGAAGCTGCACAGTCCATGAGCTTGGAAGCATAAGTTGATTCTTAAATAGGTTCAAAGGCAGCTTTTGATTTTTGTTTTCATCTCTTAAGATTCAGCACAGTTATTCCTTTCTGTGATTTCTCACCCTTTACATTTTGCTTCACAATTTGATTGCATTATAATTTAATTATTTACCTACCATTTGTGCTTATTTTCTGCCATTCTGCTTGAAAGTTATTGCTTCGTTTATAACATTAAGCTTCAGTAAATGCCATTTGTTTTAAACTTTCTCAAGATTACTTTTTCTTCAGAATTTTTCTCAAGACACTTATTACTTCTGTATTTCTCAGGCTATAAATGAAAGGATTTAATACAGGAACTATTATTGTAAACAAGACACCAGCAGGAATATCTTTATCTCCTTCTTCAAGTAAATTTGGTCTAATATACATGAAGAAAATAGATCCATAGAATAATGAAACTGACAAAAAATGTGAGGCACATGTGGAAAAGGCTTTAACCCTTCCTTCTTTAGATTTCATTTTGAAAATTGTAAAAACAATGTAGACATAAGAAACTAAGACACTACCTATAGTGAAGACTTCAATAGAACCTGCAAAGACAAAGAGCACAAGTTCATTGACATATGGGTCAACACAGGAGAGTCTGTACAAAGGAAGAATATCACAGTAAAAATGGTTGATTTGATGAGACCCACAGAAAGCTAACCTAAAGAGTAGACCTACATGAATCATGGAGTGCAAGTTTCCAGCTATGAAGGCTCCTGTGGTCATCTGAACACAGAGTTTCTTTGACATCATGGTGTGATACTGCAGAGGACTGCATATGGCCACATAGCGGTCATAGGCCATTGCTGCCAGAAGAAAGCAGTCTGCAGTTTCCACAGTGCAAAGAATATAAAATTGTA